ACAAATATACCTATACAACCCCCAATTATACTAATTCTACTTTTAAAATGGTCATAATATAAAACTGTCAATAAATAGAAAAAGTTTCCTTAGTGATATCAGGTATTCATTCAACACTTACTATTTAACACACTCATTTATTTTTCCACAAATTTTCTCCTTATTCATAAGCTGTAGCTCCTTGTTTTATTTTAAATGTACTGGAACTAACATGATAAATATTTATCCAAGGCTACTTCCTCATATGTGATGGTATGAGCGCACTAATAGCTAATGCTTAGAGTAAAATCTCAATACTTGAAAACCACTATGAAAAGATAATCAAGCTACAAAGAATCAGTCCATATACCTGACAGTTTGTCTATGTAAGCATCAACACTTGTTTTTGCACAAAACACTTTCAGAAATGAATTAGATAATTCCCACATTCTTAAACAAAATATCCTAGATATAACTGTTTTCTTGCTAACTCAGGGGTGTGATGAAATATGTGTTAGTGAGCTATGATGTAACACAGAGATGCCTTCAGGAGCTACTGAGGTATGTATGGCTACTTGCTTAGTTAGTAAGAGGAGGTATCATGTAGTGGTTAAGAGCATGTACTCTGGAGCCAGACTCCCTAGTGTCTAATATCTGGGCTTTTGCCTCCAAATTATATTGTGACCCTTGGGAAGTTATTTAACCTCTATGAGCCTATTTACTCATCTACAAAATGGGGATACTACAACTTTCTCATAGAATTGCTATGGAGTTCAGAATGAGGTAACATATGTAAAGTACTGGAACATCGGTACATGACTTATAAATGCTATCTTTAATTTCTTATTTTTGTGATGCCTCTAAGACATCTAGTTAAGCATTTGGACATAGAGGTTTGAATAGAGATGAACAGGTTTGAATTACATGGACTTATAATTATGGGGAATTGCTAGAATATAGCTGGATGCTAAAACTAGAGAACCAATTGAGGATATTTATGAGGAAGATAAAATATATGTGTGTGTCTATGTATGTAAATGTACATATGTATGTCTAAACAAAAATAATACTAGAAGAGTGCCAAGGATAGACCAGAGAAAACAGAACATCCAAGAAGAGAAGAAACACATGAAAAAGAGAAAAGACAAAAGTAGTCAGAGAGCAAGGAGAGAATGGAGCCCATAAAGCCAAAGGTAGTAAAATTTTCAAGGAGGGAGGTGATTAATAGTGCCAAATGATGAGGATTAGAAAAAGGCCATTGGATTTTGAAATTAGAGGATCACTATCAACCCTTTTAAGAACTGTGAAAATGTTGAGTTGTAAAAGGTAATTTAGGAAATACAGAAAACAAGTATAGATGATTCTTTTAGAGAGTAGGACTATAAAATAAAAAAGGAAGATGAGAGGCTAGTTTGAAGATTAAGAAAGATCAAAAGGTGTTGTAGTATGGGTCAGAACTGAGAATGCTATTAAGCTGAAGGGAAGTCAATTAAGATAGAGCATATGAAGATATATGATTTATTGTCTATCTGTTTCTTGAACTATTGAAGATAATGAAAATCCTATCACATGGACAAAATTTCACTTGAAAGATGAGCTAGAAAACCTCTGTGAGAAGTTAATAACCTGTTTTAAAATAAAAAAAGAGAAAAAATACATATAGTTGTTATTTAAAAATATAATTAGTGCTGTATTTTAACAGAATTACCTTTTCTATTTCTGTAATACCCTGAGACTTCTCAAAATGTTATAGTCTCAGGAAGTAATTCTGTTAAAATACAGCACTAATTTTATTTTTTAAACAACAAATTCCAACTTTTGATTTTCACTCTGTATTCTGAATATATTTTTGAACTTTTAGATGATATTTTTCAAATCACATGAAATAGTCCTAATAAATAAACCCACGTCACAATTCTTATAAGTCATAGGCTCTGTATATAACAAATTACTAATTTTTAACTCATCAAAATAGGATATTTCAAATTATGATTTGCATATGTTTGCATCTATAATCAGTATTCAACAATTTCTTGAATATCTAGCAAGATGCTTATAATTCTTCTATATGCTACCTGTCAACAATTTGCTACTTTATCATTCTATTCAGTCCAACTTCTTGAAGGCTAACAATTGTCATTCCTACCCCATTTGTTGGGGTGGACTACTCTGTGGAGGGGTGTCATTTTAAAGGTCAGAAAATGCAGTATACAAATGTTGCATCAAAAAGACCTGGCTTCAAATTACAGTTCTACCCCTCAATAGCTGTGTGATTTTAAGTGAGTCATTTGAGCGAGTAATGAAAACTTTGAATATATCTAAAATACTTACTTTCTCTTAAACAAACATTGCAAGACAAGTACAAACTCCTACAAATGACTGAATGCCAGTGAAATTTAGTTGGGTAAACCCAACTATAAGGAACAAGAACAAAGATTTAAAGAACTCATCTAAAAAGTAGTTTTCAAATCTTTCAGTAGAGATATTAAAAATTTTTGAGATAAATTTTATAATAAGTATATTATACAAAGGAAAAAAGTGATGTAGGAAACAAAGGCAAAAGAAAAATTAAATTTCCTTACTACTTGCAGCCCATTCACAAGTCCTTAAAGCAGGCTGAGTGACATTCCTCTAGGAACTCAGCTGCCAGGAGGTTAATACTTTGCTAAAGTCAGAAGGCAATCTTAACTGACCCCCAGAATGCTGTAAGTCTACTTTAAAATATAAAAATTCCTTTGGAAACTTCCTTTATCTCTACCCCCTCCAAGATACATGTTGACAATCATCACCCAGGCATATGACCCACTGATATACATCTGAAGGGTCTCATGACTAAGGTTTTATCAGACAGTAATAAATGACCTTTTCCTAACAACAGCTAGCCCCTTCAAGGTCCTGGAAATCTTGCTTCCAAAATTCCTTAGAGATTATGCTATCCCCCAACTTGAAAGTATATAATGGGCCACTCCCCTCAAGACCCCAGTGGAGGTCTTCCTGCCCAGGGGTCCTGTCCCCTTGCTTTAATAAAATCACCTTTTTGCACCAAAGACATAAAGAATTCTTTTTTGGCCATCAGGCTTTGAACCCTAATATCTTTCCTACATGAACAGTAGAAGGAAATATCCCAACTATTAAAAATGTAATACATTAGACATAAAAGACAAACTGTAAAAGTTTATCCAAAATGAACATCACAGTTGGAGAAGTAACAATTAACAAAGATCCTTAAATATTTAAAGACAGATTACAGTTTTCATAACACTACAACATTCTCTTTGGATAAGCTAATTCATATATCTGCTGAAGTTTCAAACTTTTGCAAAAAAAAAATACTAATACCTTATAACACAATAAAAAAGAAAATAATTGTTTTACATCAGATAAGAAATTTTAACATTTAAACACTCACTACTAAATAATTTGATAAAATTAAATGTGGAACCATCTTCTCTTTGAGGAGAGAACAGAAGGGAAGCTAAGGACAAAGCACAAGCTGACACCCCACAAACCCCCCTCCCCCACTCCCAGGTGGGATAGGTGTGACATTCCTCAGGCACTCCTGGCTGCCCTAAAGCTAAGGGAAGGAAAAACAAGTGGTTAACTTATAGAGATTGCAGTCCTGCAAGACAAGAGTCTCCCTCAGTTTACAGAAGTCTTACTGATTTACAAGAAAAAAGCATTCTTATCAATAACCTAACTTCCAGAAGGAAATGCAGATAAAATTAAATGTCCTTATCACCAGCAGCCCAGTGACAAATACTTGGGGCAGGCAGAGTGTAATGTTCCTCCAAGGAAGCTCCCAACTGTCCTAAAGTTCAAGCCTTGCTAGAGGAAAAAACACCTTTAACTTGACAATGGCAAGGCCTCCAGTATCTTGTAGGTCCTCTTTAGCATATGAAATTTCTTTTGAAAACCTGACTTTTCCTTATCTCCCCCACTCCCAAGTATATAATCAGCCACCACTCACAACCCCAACGCAGCAGGTCTTTCCGCCCATGGGTATTGTCCCCGTACTTTAATAAAACCACCATTTTGCACCAAAGGTGTCACAAGAATTCAAACCCACCAAACCTCACCTATATTCCAAAACTACCTCATTTTTGTTGAATGATACTACAGGAGTTAAAAAATAATTCAAAAAAGAGTCCCCCATGGTACATTAAATGGTAAACAAAAGAAAAAGATGCGCATTGAAGACCAAAAACCTGGTGTCAAATTCTTACTCTACCACTTACAAGCTGTGTCAGCTTAGACAAGTTATCCAGTTTCAATAAGCCTATCCATCTTATAAACAAAATGGAGATGATAACAGTGCCTGCACAGCTGGGCTGTTGTGAGAACTTAATCAGATAATATATGTAAATTAAAATGCTCAGCCCATGATCTCATACCATAAATACAGCCAATAAATATGAGTTCTCATCACTCAAGAACAAAGTTATCTTTCATAAAATGGGTCATTTCATGAAACCATCTAAGAAAAGATACTGAATTTTGTCATTTTCTAAATAAGACATTTAGGCTGTGTATACACAGAGCCATGAGACAGACTCTGACCAAAGAATTGCAATTCAGTCCCCACCCTATTCTGGTGAGTCAGACTTCTGAATATTGTGTGAATGGCATAAAGATATGCTTAGATTTCCTAAATTTCTACTATAAGCCCAAAGATTTCATCAACATCTGTTAGGATAATACTACTGGCTAAACTGCTTACCCTGTTGTTCTGATTATTGGTAAAGCTTTAATTCCCATGGTTTATTTTATTATTTACTAAATTTCTTCCAAATATTAATGATAATCATACCATATTAATAATAATCAGAAGTACTTTTCCTAATTTTAAACAAACTGTTATTCTAACAGATAAAATTTTTAGCTTTTATAAATGACAAGCAATAGGAAGAATTTCATTTTTATGTTTCATTCTCTTTAAATAATAGCTAAGAAGGAGTTGGCAGCAGACAAAATGAGTAGTTTAAATATAACCCCAGAAGCAACTTAAGACAAAACCAACTCACCTGTAATTGCAAAGCTTCATGATTTTCTAATCCTTCCACAATTGGTGAAAATCGTTCCCTATTATTTCTTTCTGCTGCAGTAGTTATAGCCCCTAAAAGTTTATCTAGACTATAGAGGGGTAAAAAAAATTAGATATGAGAAATCCATCTTACACACACATTATGAATATGGGTTATCTGTTTCTTTCAGTCTTATTTCCTTTCTGGCATTTGATGTTTATTAGAGACCACTACACTTTAAGAGTTGTGTTCCTATACACATATTTCTACAAGTCAAATATTGACAGCTTTAAATAATTTTAGGGCATCAAAGTGAAAATTCAATTATTTAAAAAAATGAAAATTCAATTAAAAAACCTTGAGGAAAATAAATTTCCTGGGTAACATTCTTTAAGATATTTAGTTGATAAACACTGAAATTTAAAATTCCAGGTTTGGTATTTCATGTGTTAGCATAAATATTAATAATCATTTAAGCATAATGACATCTACAATTATTAAAATTTTATTCACATGTAAACAGATTGATTTTATAATAAAGTACTAGAAAGAACAAGTACATTTGAAAGACCTTAAAAAAATCAACATTCTTTCAAAAGGAACAAGAAAGAAAAACTGAAAAAGAAAGTCTAGGCAATTAGAGAAGCATCTATAATTATCTAGCACAAGAAAACTATTTACATAAACAAAAATATTGGAAACTATTGCTATACAGTGTCTGAATCAAATTAACCTCTATGTAGTATACTGTGCTTATCAAACTGTAGCTACAACTATAACAAATATACCAGAATAGGTTGTATTATATGAATTAAGTATTGAAAATCCGATTGACAAGAAAAATATTTTTTACTCATGTATAAACTGATTTTTCTACAAAACCTAAGAAAATCTTACTTTTGCATATGTTATTTCATTCTTAGTTTGTTCTAAGATAAGACTTAATGCTCTCTGATATTTTTGTTTAGTGTTTGGCTTTTGGTCTCTAACGACACTAAGCAGCATTAAGCAATATCTCATTTTATTCTGATAGGTATGAAAAAGTCACTGTATTAGGATATTCTTAAATCTTTACATGGCCCTATTCTGATTCAAATTGAAATTATTACTGTCACACACAATGTCAAAGAAATATTTTAGTATGTGATCCCCCTAGCAGATATTTCACTCTTTATCACAATGGTTCCATACTAACTAGGCTTATTAATGACATCAAATCAGAAATTTTGCTTCTCAGCCAATATTATTTCCATAAGAAGGTATGAACTAAGGTACATTCAGCAACAATCTGTTAAAATTAACACATACATGCACTCTGAATAAATGCAAACAGTCTTTTTGTTCTTTCTTTTTAAAAGGTTAGTTTACTTTATACATAATTCATTTTTTCACTTATTACAGTAGGATACAGTAAAATACTACTTTAAATAACAAAACAAAAGCATCTAGTCAATTCAGTGAGTTAAAGAAGTCAAATTTTGTGATGTGCACATATGGGGGATGTGTGTGTGTGTGTGTGTGTGTGTGTGTATGTCTGTGTATTGAGCCCATTTTCTAATGATTACTTTACACCTAGATAAAATTCTATTAATTCATTTTACAGTGAAATGAACTTTGAAGAATTTCTCATTAGGGGTCTATCTATTTAAATCTGTTTCAAAAAAATTTTAAAAATGCTGAAATGTAAATAGATAAGATAAAATGCCAATAAATTATTTTCTAAAAGGTGATAATATTTTCATGCAAGTTATCTAATGAAAAACACAAAATACGTAATTTTAATTTTGCAAGTGCCATTTTCTTTGAGTTAACATAATAATATAGCAATACTTACATGTTCTCTTCTCCAACAATGCAAATAGCAGAAAGTATTTTTACTATTTCAGTCATCATGTTGGGTTGTTTGGGATCAATTGCTCTTGCCAATAGCAAAAGACTCCTTTCATCTCCTAGAATCCTTTGCAATCCAAACTAAAGAAAAAAAAAAGAATCTTCATTCAAAATGTATTTGTAACACATCTTTAATTTAAAAAGCAACTTATCTTGTTCTTCTAAAAACCTATACGTCCACAATGAGGTTCTACCTAATTATATGAAATCTTTTCAAATGCAGTTACTTATCTTTGTTTTTTTATTTTAAATGACTATATCTTGGAGTTTTTTCCCCTTGATCAGATATGATCTACATTAGCCTGCCTAAAAACTCCATAAAGATTTGAGAGAAATATGTGAACAATCAGTATTTCTTCAACAAAGAAAAACATGTAAAGTACATACTGATATGATTTTTTTTAAGATTTTATTTATTTATTTGACAGAGAGAGAGAGCCAGCATACTAGCAGGGGGAGCTGTAGAGAGAGCAGGAGAAGCAGGCTCCCCACTAAGCAGGGAGCCCATCTTGGGCTGATCATGACCTGAGCCAAAGACAAACTCTTAACCGACTGAGCCACCCAGTCATCCCCTGATATGATTTTCTTAAGTAATTCTACTTATGTCATTGGATCTTCCTGGAGACATCTGGAATCCATTGTTAAATTCTCCAATATATTTGTGTGGAAAATTAAACTGAACAAAAAGGGTAAAATGTTGTAAAGCTCTTTTGTATACTACATGTCAGTTAAAGAAGCAATAAACCTCTGAATAGGTTTTCCCATACCATCTATTATCCTGCCCCTTTGAGAAGCTGTGCTGCATTACAAAAGCTATGAACCCAGGTAAATGGTACCTGGGTTTTCTTAAGTGTCACAGTGAACTAGGCAGAGGAGACATCATTTTGCATTTGTTTTCTAGGCTTGAATACAACCACAGAAGTGTGCATTATAACAATGAATAGGTAAACAAATGTTTAAAAAAGGCTAAAACTTGGATTTTCACTATATTTAGAAGGTATTTTCTTTGATCTTTGTCCCACAAAGTATTTCTCAGATTTCTTATGAAATGCTTGCTTCTTTATAAAATTTTAACAGTAAAAATCCAACATTTCATCAGATCAAAATTGTCATTTGAAGCTTGACTTTTAGTTAAGTACCAAATATATGATTATTTTCATGGTGCCTAATTTAACTTCCAAAAGAATTTGAGGCGAGAAGGGGAACATAGCTAAAGTTCTTAAATGTAATTTTACCAGAGGTCACAATAAATAATATATACAGAGATAAGGCAAATAAAAAAAATAGAAGAGACAAGATTAAAAAGAAGCAAAGAGAACAGAATGGACAAGCATGTATAAAGATGGCCAGTAGATACTAAATAGCAAAGAAAATAAGTGAAAAATGTATGTGTAAAACTAAGAGACAGAGGTTTACCATGGAATTACCAAACTTAAAACAACAGCTTTAAAAATCAAATAGACTGAGAGTAAAATTATTTAAATTTTCAAATTTTCCTTTATAAGTTAAAAGTAGTTTCTAGTACATAGGGACATACTAAAAATAAAAATGAAATAAACAATGAAAAACCATAAATCTAAACATAAGAGCAATATTACAGCAATGGAAGTTAAGAGGCAATGCTTTGCTTTTGATCCTATTATGATCCTATTATTACATGTTTTGTATAAAGAAAAAGAGTTTTGTTTTATTTATTTTATTTGTCAGGGCGGGGGAGCAGCAGCAGAAGGAGAGGGAGAAGCAGGCTCCCCGTTGAGCAGGGAGCCCGACGCGGGGTTCGATCCCAGGACCCTGGAACCATGACCCCAGCCGAAGGCAGACACTCAACCGACTGAGCCACTCAGGCGCCCCAGGAAGAGTTTTTGAAGAAGGTAATCTAAATTCCTTGGAGCCAACAAATGTGAAATTTAAGTAATTTCAGATGAAAGTTTCATGCTTTATGACAATTTATTCCAACATGAAGTGGACATATCACTACATATTTTTTTAAAAATGTTGAATGTATACTACATGCCTATTGTTTCCCATGCCTATAATTTAAAAGATTAACCATTTATTCATGTTCTGAGCATTTATATGCAAGATATTAACATGTCCTAACTACAGGTTAACCCTTAGTTTAGAATAATATAAGTCAAACCATCATGTTCTTCCAAACTGCCAGACTCTTAAGTAAAAGTAATTATGTATTCACATATCAGTGTATGTCCTATCAGAAAAAGGTCTACAGGAAATCTCACTACTATGACTTTCTCTATTGACTCTCTTGGTTATAGATATTTAGTAACCTGCTAAGCTATGAGAATTGACAATGCAAGTCAATAAGAATTTATTTTTTTATTTTTTTTTAAAGATCTTATTTATTTATTTGACAGACAGAGACACAGCGAGAGAGGGAACACAAGCAGGGGGAGTGGGAGAGCGAGAAGCAGGCTTCCCGCGGAGCAGGGAGCCCGATGCGGGGCTCGATCCCAGGACCCCGGGATCATGACCTGGGCCGAAGGCAGATGCCCAACCAACTGAGCCACTCAGGCGCCCGCAAGTCAATAAGAATTTAGAACAAAGGGTGCAACAGCTCATTTTACAGATGAGGGGATTGACAGCCAGAAACTTCAAGTGCTTTTCCAAAGGCCACTCAACTTAGTGGTTAAGCATGTACTGTATCTCCTGATTTCTAGTACTATACTGTTCTATTATTTCTGTTTCCCTCAACTGAAGAAAGAGATTCATCTTGAATTGTGGAGATGGAATGTTCATTAAGTGCTTTCTTGTTAAGAGATCAGATTCTGTATAATTCTGTTGCAAAACACTAAGGGCACAGAAGTTGAGAAATTCTGTATTAATAGTGATAGAAATCCTTCCAGAAGAGACTTCCAGGAACAGTGCAATTAGTATAGTCTATACAAAAGTCTTATGTCAACTAGCAAGCATCCACTCCACATGCCAAAAATCCTTTGCGGATACATGTGTGCATAATATATACATATATACAATCATATATAATCCCATGCTTAAGAAAGACTGTTTACAGATTAGACAATCTTATCACATTATTAATGTGATAAGATTGTATATATTATATTAACAGCTATATATCTGGCCAGTTTTTTGGTTATTGTTATAATTCTTTCTATTAAATACTTTGAGATTAAAACACCATCTAAAGAGAATTATACAGTTAGTGAATTAGTGGTATTTTACCTTATAGGAATATAGAGGAAATCATGTCTAATACAGTAACAAAACTGTTTATAGAAAAAATACCTATAGGGCACCTAGGTGGCTTAGTCGGTTAAGTGTCTGCCTTTAGCTCAGGTCATGATCCCAGGGTCCTGGGATGGAGTCCCTCACCGGGCTCCCCACTCTGCAGGGAATCTACTTCTCCCTCTGCTCCTCCTCCCACTCATTCTCTCAATCTTCTCTCTCTCCCTCTCAAATAAATATATAAAATCATTTAAGGGGTGCCTGGGTCACTCAATCAGTTGAGTGTCTGCCTTCAGCAAAGGTCATGATCTCCAGGTCCCGATATGGAGCCCCACACTGGGCTTCCTGCTCAGCAGGGAGTCTGCTTCTCTCTCTCTCTCTCTCTCTCCCACCCCTCCCCCCTGCCTCTCCCCACTGCTCCTTCTCTCTCTCTTAAATGAATAAAATCTTTAAAACATAAAAATAGTTTTTTAAAAAAGAAAAAGAAATAGTAACTATAACATCATAACTTGAGCACAGATTATTTTTTTGAATTAAGAGAGAGAGCGCACGTGCGTGCATGTGCACATGCGTGGAGGGAGGGGCAGCAGGGAGTGAGAGGGACGAACAGACTCTGTGCTGAGCAGGAAGCACAATGCAGGGCTCCATCTCAGAACCCTGAGATCATGACCTGCATGTAAATCAAGAGTCAGACACTTAACCAACTGAGTCACTCAGGCACCATGAGCAGATTATTTTTAGGAAAAAACCCTTGTCTAGAATTCATAAAGTCTCTAATATTGCATCTGGTATACATATACATAAAAACTCTGCAATCTTCCAGGAATGTCTTCTATGTACATTAACTCACTGATATTAATTAAACATAAAAAAGAAATCTTAACCTTATAATGTTCTTAGCAAGTAAGTCAAACCATAGCTTTGAAATTCCCTTTTCAATAAAATAAAAACACTGTAAAAAATGGTATTCAACATAAAATACTTAACCATGAAAGAAAAAAAAGTATTATCTAATTTGGCAACAGACTTATGTGCTTCCATAATTATAAAAACCTACCAATAAATATATTGTGAAGCAAAGTATATTTTAAATAATATTTTGATGAAACGTATGATGATTTGCATCATAAAGACCCTTTGAAAACCGAATAAACACCTACTATACTGTTTCATACTTTCATATACTGTTGAACAAGCTCTCACCTTTTGTGACAGGCAAAAATTACTATTACTTACCTTATTATTCATAAATGCTTTGAGGCACTGAATAAGTTTATACTGATTCTTCTTGTCTATATTTTCTTGCCTGAATAAAGGGGAAATAAACATGTTATGTTGTGCTTAAAAATTTTTTTAATTTCCCCTTCAGTGATATTTTTCATGTTTATTCTTACTGTTTCTTGTCCAGAAGCTTTTCCAGCACATCCAGTAAGAGTCCAAGACCTTCATGGCCAAAGTTGTTAACCCAGCTATGAAACAAACAAAAAATATGTAGAAATAAGTTTGTATATTTAAAACATTAAGTATCCAAAATGAAATGTTAATTTTCAAATCTGAAAATCCTGTCTTTATATCGATTGTCATTTTTTTTCCTTCTTCCATTACATTAAGTATTGTTTCTATGAAGATGACTCAAGAGATCTTTACCTCAATGCCAGACTTCTCTTCACATTTTAGATTGCCCATTCCACAGTACTGCTTTGGTTGTTTCACCAGCATCAAATACTTAAGCTGATATATTTAAGCCAAATTTATCTTCCCCTGTGTCTCTGTTACCCTCAATCAACCCCTCTTTCACTCTTCCATACTCTGTTAATAACACCTCTATCCTTTGAATCCTTCAGACTTGAAATACTGGCATAATTTTTTGATCCCCATCTCTTTCACCTTTGTATTTATTCTGTCATTGATTTAACAGATATTTATTGATACCTACTAAGTACCAGCCATGTTCTAGGTGATAGAGATATAACAGGCAACAAAACTAACCCTTTACCCTCATGTAGCTTACTATCTACAAAGAGGGAGACATATGATAAATAGATAAGTATATAATAAAATGTCAGTGCTTTAGTGCCATGAAAAAAATTCAACTTTGGTAAATCAAATAATGAATGCCAGGATGTGATTTTTTTAATGTGTAGTCAGGGAAGATTATTTGATAAGGTGGCATCTGAACAGAGTCTTCAAGGAAGTGAGGACTTTCACAGTAGAAGGATTAAGGACCAATCGAGTACTCAAGTGGTAGCTAGTATGCTTGATATATTCCAAGAACTATAAGGAGACATATGTGGCTGCAGCAGAATAAGCAGGCTTGGAAAAATGGCAGGAAATGAAGTCCCAAGTGTGATAAAAGGCTGGAAGACTGATCATGTAGAGCTTGGTTTGACTCTGTCATCCAGTCATGAATATTCTACTTCTAGGAAGACTCCCACACATTTCTTCTCCCTTCCCTTTCACTGATTCTGCTAACATTCCAGTTTAGCTCCACTTACCTTTTCTTTAATGTGCCAGGGTCTTCCAACTAGGATCTCTACAGCTTCATTCTTTTCTTTTATTCATTTTACAAAAAGCTGGATTAGATTGCACTTAACCAGTCATATGTCCAAAAATTATCTCTAGACTACCTAACACATTTCAAGTCCCTCAACCAAACATTCTGATCTAGCTTCAACCTACCTTTTCAGCTACTTAAAAAATGGCTCAAATACTCAGAACCAATTGCATCCACAATATATATGGAACCTAATGTTAAACAAGTTCTGCTTTAATTTCCATAGTGGAAATGAGAAAAAAATAATATGGCAGTGTAATGATAATTGGCAGCAAGCTACTATTCAGTTCAGGCATGCAATCAACTAGCACAATGAACTATTTTCTCTAAAGACTCTCCATAATCAGTGGGGTGGTGGTGGAAGAAAGGAAGGACCATCATCTCTAAGCATAATATGTCAGCAGGTATCAGTAAAGCACAATACACCCTAAGAGCAACCTTAAAATAATGGGAATTATTATTTTTTTAAAGATTTTATTTTTTTATTTGAGAGCAAGAAAGAGAGAGCATGAGCAGGGTAGAGAGGTAGAGGGAGACGGAGAAGCAGGCTCCCCACTGAGCAGAGAGCCTAACGCAGGACTCAATCCCAGGACCCTGGGATCATGATCTGAGCCAAAGGCAGACACTTAACCAACTGAGCTACCCAGGTGCCCCAAAATAATGGGAATTCTGAATAAATCTGTATAAACAGCTCTTGGTATCTGCTTCAGCATTCAGGAAGATAAAATAATCTATGATTTCCTTAAATTTAACATTTATAAATTGTTTTTTTAAGATTCTAAATTTTACTCATCTTCTTTTTATACCCAGCAGTATTAAAACCATTAGTTATTTCTTTCTAGGTCTAGGAAAGTGGTATAAAAACATGATTTATATTTGTTCACTTAAAATTGTCACCCACACATCCCAGACTTCCTCAAATTGTTCAGTTTATGACACTTCGGTTTCACTCAGTAAAAATTACGATTGGTCTGAAAAAAAATAGGATACAATCATGAAACCTAAGAGTGAGAAGTCAGGGCTTATTTATTAAAAAACTAGGCAGTGAAAAGTCTTAACAGAATATTTTAGGCCAATGGGCAAAAGAGGCCTAGTTAGAGTCTTCAGGCTCTCTACTTAAAAGAGAGTAGAGAGAATGGGAGTCCCAAAGGAACCTGTTACTAAAGGGATAAAGTAATTATATAGCATGACGACACTCAATAGGTTAAAAGGAAGGGATGCAGCTAACCGTACCTTTTTTTTTTTTTTTTTTTTTCCTTTTTCTCTTGCCAGCACCATTTTTCTTTCAGGCACTAAATACTTTGTGGCCTCTAACCAAACGCTATTTTCTCTTTCTCCCAGTCTTTCTTTCTCTGTCTCTCTCTCTCTCTATATATATATATATACACACACACACATATACACACACATATATATTCATTTTACCCAATACAAAAGTGGTCATGAATTGATGAAGCAGTTAAAAACAATGTTGGCTACTTTACGTAGGTTAAGAATTCTGATACTACAACACCTGAAAGAAGCATAAATCAGTAGTTCTCAAGATAATCACCCTAAACCAGCAGCATCAGCAACATCAACATCAGCTGGGAACCTATCAGAAGTACAAATCCTTGCCCCCTCTCCAGCAACCCCCCACCAGACCTACTGAATCAGTAACTCTAAAGATGTGGCACAGCAATTTGTGTTTTAATGAGACCTCCAGGTGATTCTAATACTCAATCATGTTTGAGAACCACTGACATGGAACACTGCCCTTCTCAGGCAGGACTCAGACTAAAAATTCAAGGTTCCTTTATACACCCTCACAACCATACTGCGAACTCCCTCCACCACAGGACAGAGATCAGGAATTTAGTCCAAGCAAGTATATTTGTTATTTTACAGAGTATGCAAATTCCAGCTGAGTTATTCTGTACTAATTGGAATATCTAGAGGTATAAATATACAGTTGATGAGTCGATTTAGTATCTGCCTCAGAGATTGCAAATAGAGACATAAATTTTCTGTAGTCTCTCAGCCCCAAAATAAGAAATTGCTATTTATCATGGACCCTAAATTTATAAGAGACATAGAAGCAGCACAGGATAATAAAGAACCAAACAGAATAAAAAATGGGGAAGGAGAATGATCTCTTATAATTCCCATAACCACTCTGAAACATAAGGTTTTTTTCCTTTCTTTTTTACTGAAATAAGATTTACATATAGTAAAATTCATCCTTCTGACAAATGTATAGTCATGGAACCTCCAATAAAAAAAGATATACAACATTTCCATCACTCCAAAATATTCCCTCATTCCTTTTTACAGTCAATATCTTTTCCATACTCCCAACACCCTGGCAACATTTATCTGATGTGTCACCCTAGTTTTGCTTTTTCTAGAACATCATTAAAAATGGAATTATAGGGTGCCTGGGTGGCTCAGTTGGTTAAGCGACTGCCTTCGGCTCAGGTCATGATCCCGGAGTCCTGGGATCGAGTCCCACATCAGGCTCCCGGCTCAGCGGGGAGCCTGCTTCTCCCTCTGACCTTCTCTCCTCTCATGCTGTTTCTCTCTCTCTCTCTCTCTCTCTCTCTCTCAAATAAATAAATAAAATCTTTTAAAAAAATTTTAAAAAAATGGAATCATACAGTATGCACGTTTTGTGTCTAGCTTCTTTCACTTAGCATAAATATTATGATATTAACCATTTTGTTGCATCTATCAGTAGTCCATTCCTTCTAATTGTATGGATATACCACAGTTTTTTTTTATCCATTCATCAGTTGATGAATGTCTTGGTTGTTTCCAGGTTTTGATGATTATGAAATAAAACGCTATAAACATTCACATGTGTTTGTGTAAGTATATATTTTCGTTTTACTGGGAAAATAACAAGGGGTGGAATTCCTGAGTCTCATGCTAAGTATGTGTTTCACTTTTTAAGAAACTGTTTTCCAAAGTGGTTATCCAATTTGGCATTCTTTCAGCAAAGTGTAATAGCTCCACTTAATCCAAATCCTTCCCAACATTTCACACTATCAAAATTTTTTTAAAGAGAGAGAGAGTGCACACATGCGTGCCCATGAGTGGGGGAGGGCCAAAGGGAGAGGGAGACAGAGAATCTTAAGCCGGCTTTATGCCCAGTGCAGAGTCCAATGTGGCGCTCAATCTCATGACCCTGAAATCATGACCTGAGCCAAAATCAAGTCAGACACTTAACCAACTGAGCCACCCAGGCGCCCCTCACTCTGTCAAATATTTTTTTTTAACTTTAGCCATTCTGAAAACTGTTTCCAGATAAACTGAGAAGCAAAGTAGTAAAGTAACTTGCCAAACATCACTCAACAAGTATCAGTTCTAGGGTTCACATGTCTAAATCCAAAGCCCATACTTATTTCAACCATACCACTAGAAATTACTAATAGGACCAGAAAAGGATTTTCTATAAAAACATCTACTTATGGCTCCACCAATATTTCACTGAAGAAGAATTAGTGGTTAGTTCCAGAACTGCATTGAGATTCTATCTATCTATCTGTCTATCCTATATACATGTGTGTATATATATATATCTTACATCTATATTATATCTATGTCTAAACACACAAACATATGCTCTGCTTTATTTAACAGCTTACTTCATTCATTTAGGCGTGATAAGTATTTTCAGTCCATGCTTTTATTGAATTTTAAAGTTCTAAGCTTTATAAGAAATCTACTAAATACTGTTAAGGAAAGGAATCTGGAGACTCCAACTAAAACTTCCAAATGAGATTTAGATAAGGCAGCTTATTGAAAAGAGTAAGGCCAGAATGTAGCTTATACTGTTTATTTTTTTGGATGAGCTAGTTTACAATCTCACATTTTAGATATTAACATATTGATGATTTTATGTTATTAAGTTACCTAAGTCAAAGAGTTGTCTTG